ATATAAGTGTTAGACGATTGTGCTTTTAATAAAGATTTTTAAGAAAACATGTCAAATAAAGAAGGCAGTAACACATGTTTTTATAATGGTTCACTTAGAAACCTAAGCTACGTCTAGTCTCGCTTAAGAACTCTTGAGAGGTTCCACTAATCTTATCCAATATTACAATTGAGTTTAATCCACTCTTGGTTGTAAGTATAATTACCACTCCTGGTCTCTTAGTTAATCCTAACTAATCCAATTATTCTAAACCACCCCTGGTTCCCTTGGTCAATCCTCACTAGTCCAAGTTTAACCACTCCTTGTATCCCTAGTCAATCCTGACTAGTCCAACTTTACCCACTCCTAGTTGTCAAGTATTATAACCACTTCTGGTTTACAACAAGGTATTGTCAACCAAAGTTGGTCCCCTAGCCAATCCTAACTAGAACGTTTAGTTCAATACAATGATTTAATACAAACACATTCAGTGTTTGATTATAAATACAAATTTGAATAAATCTCAAGGAGAGGATTAATACAATACAATATAATCTGTAATTATATGAGATTCTTCCTTTAGAGATAGTGTTTAATGATCTTTCTTGAGCATGTTCTTTTTCTCTCTCTCCTTTTCTCTCTCCTATTTCCACCTTCCTGAACTTCATCAACATATTCACCTCAATAAATCTTCTTTATATAGCTTTCTTGAGAAATGACCTTGGACACAGAGTTGACTTCTATAGCCTTTTTAGGTAGCTAGTCAAACTTAGTTCTATGTTACAACATGATAGTGCTTTATCAATGCTTTCATTCAAATGTAGCTTATACGTCCTTTTAGTGCAAAGCTTGAGGAAACATTCTAAGAATGTCTTCTTTTCTTTGAATGTCTTTTTGTCCTTTGTGCAACGCTTCTAAATAAAGCTTTAGTATTGACATTACCTGAACAGGTAACAAGAACAAAACATGCAAGTAGAGAGACACTTTTTTGTACAACATTAAATGTTTTAAACGTTTATGATCGTTAAGCACGTTGTGTGTTCAAAACATTTTGTCAAATGTTGGCATGTTTTGATAAATGCATTGCTTGAAGGCAAAGCATTTGGTATGTTATGATATGATTGATTGAGATCACACCCTGATACAAATTTAATGTGCAATTAAAATACAATATAGACTAGGAAGTGACTCCTAGGTCCTCTCTCAAGAACCAAATGTGGTTCAGGTAATAGGTCGAACACGCGGTGGGGGGTTGGTGAAGAGTTTTGTGATGCGAAAAGAACTAAATTTAAAACACAAATGGTAATGCTAAATGAGAATGACAGTAAACACAGATTCAAATACAGAATAAAAACGGTTGGCCATTAACTCAATTACTATGCTTCCAATCACAGATTAACGACAAGTATACACTACTCTAATTCAAATCCAACACGAATCACCCAACTAAGCGAAGACTAATTCGGTCTTCAAAATTGCAAACTAAGCAAATGCAATGCACAAATCCAATCAGTCCTGCACTATACACTCTAATCAACTAAGCGAAGATTAAACACCTATTAGGCAACTAAGCGTATACCCAATTGTAAGCACAAAACATATTGAATAGTGAGCCAAATCAAAGCAGCGACATGACAATTAAAGTGCAGAGGTCTCATGAATAAACTACTCTAACCTCTAATCCAACATGAATGAATCAACTAAGCGAAGACCAATCATAATCGCGAACTAAGCGAACACAATACACCTATTCCATCTAGTGTGTTCTATACAGATTGATCAACCAAGCAAAGATGCAATCACCAATTGGGCAACTAAGCGTTTACCCATTGCAAGAACACAATCAGATTTCATAAAATGTTTGGCAGAGCAGAATAAACACAAGCACAGTCCAATAATCTCAAAGAAGCAATGTAATATCGCTAATGACCAACCCAACATACTTAAGCTACCATTACAACTAAATTATCACAACCGAACATAATAGAAAGCCGAGTGGCATTGAAGTGTGCATGCATTCCGACTAAAGCGAATGGACACGGAAACAACATGGTGAATAAGAACATCATCCAAGCGGTGATAAATGAACTAGCAAGGGCAGACCGTACGGTCTATATGAAACAAATTCATTACAGTAGATTGTAATCAACGTTGGAAGCACCGTGCAGCAAGAATGAATTTTTAAGGCAACTTGCGTGACCCATTTGAATTACAATTGTAGGTTAACATCCATTTCCAAAATTTGGTTCAAAGTGCACAATTTAATTCAAAAAGTCCTAAACAACTAAATAACAATATAATTAAATTTAAAATGCCTATGTGGAGAGTCTTTAATTATGTGGTAGCCCTTCTAAAGTCCCAAAATGTATTTCCAAAATTTTCCTACAATTAATAATGAAAATAATAAGCTCATATAATTCAAATTAATTAAAATAAGAATTTCTGGTCAAATTAAGCACAATTAGCAAAAATAGGGAAATATTGGACATTCAAACACAATTCCCTAATTAAATCTAGCACAATAAGCTAAGTGAAGTGAAGAAAATATTGACTCATCAATGATCTTTTAGACCTTTTGTTTAATAACTCTCTCTAGGCTTAAGTATATCGTTTAACAAAGCTTAGCATAACTTGATTTCATATGCCTTATCTTTTTGATAAAATGCTATGGTGATTAGACACTCTATTAGAAGTTCTATAGTGTTTGACACTCCTTATGTCTTATGCATGGGGCATGTTTGAGATATCAAATAATGGTGTATCGCTTGATGGAGTTTAGCACGTTTTGTCAAACGCTTGGTGGCTTTCAATGATTGTATCTTGAACTTTTAAGCATTTGCGTTTAGCTCAGCATTCACATAGATTATGTTTCTATTGCATCGACATTGCTTTCATTTAGACAAATTTTACTTCAAGTATTGTATCCTTCGCGTTTGTATTGTTTGATACACTAGATATATTGTTATATCTGATAGACACATGTTTCATCCAATATTATCCTTTAGTACATGTCATCATTAACCATTATATCTTATGATTAATATTTCGTTGAATGTTGTTTGTTAAAATTTAAAACATTAATTGTTGGATAGTCTAGTTTCTCTAGATGATCTTGTCTCAACATGTAAATGAAGGCAAAGTAGTGAAAAAAAATAAAGCCAACAAAAAGATAAGAAAAGGGAAGGGAAGGACACCAACAACATTAGAAGCTTTACATTGTGATCAAAAACTATATCCAATCAATCTTTTCATAAATAGTATTCCGCTTTCATCAATGAAAAACAAAATCCCAAAATAGTGAACAACAAAATCTAATGCTTTAATTGATTCGGAGGTCCCTATTTGTGCAGATTTGCGTCAATTAGGTTTCTGTATTTTTAAGTAGCTCAATTGGGTCCCTATTTATGAAAAATTGAATCAATAAAGTATGTGCCGTTAAATTCTATGGACGGCGTTAAAAGTGTTGCCCGGTGGCTAGGTGAGGTGCATTTGATAGGGATGTGGCACATAAAGACGTACTTAAATGATTTTTAATTTAAAAACAGAGTGTGAATTAGATTGGAAAAGACGATGGAAAAGAAAACAGAGAGACAAATCAGAAGGTTAGTGTGGAAGAAGGGGATTGTGAAGTTTTGGTTAGGGTTCTGAGGAAAATTTGGAAAAGGAATGAACAAAGAGTTGAAAAGGAGGGAATGAGGTTTACAAGTGGGTTAAGAAACAACATGCATTGCAGACACCATACAACCATTGCGTTTTCTCTTTCCCTTTCTTTATTTTCTCTTGTTGGTTGGGTCGGTGCAGTACAGAAACTTTATCATAAAACATATTTCTTATTCTTCTTCTTCTTTTATGTTTACAAGGCAGAACCCTTTCCTATTATCTATCAAAACCTTCAAATCCATTAGATTCAACCTCTGAATTCATCCTTCCAATTCCCTAATTTTCTTTTGGTCATGCAAGTCCTGACCCAGCCATCAGAACCTTGGTAGCCACCGCGTAGCACCTCCACAAAAACTTGCAAAACAGAAAAATCAAACCAGCCCCAATCTATTGCAACCATGGCAGAACACGAACCCTAATCGCGGACAATCCCAAATCGCCATCTTCCACCATCACCATTCATTTTCTGGGAAGTAACCATCATCCACGAACCAGTTGTCGTCGCTCACCACCATCAACAACCATCACTGTCGTTGTTGGCAGAGGGGTCCTTTTCGGTGCGAGGCGCCATAGCTTCCGGCCTTGAGCTTTCCAACCTGGTCATCCAATGAACCATCTTCTGCTTGGATTGTGTTCAGTGCAAATGAGTGGTTCATTGGAGTTGTGCTTAACCCACGAACCCTATTTTCCCCAATTTTGCACACACCCAATATCTGATCCTAATACCTTTTAATTTGATTTCCATAAATAACATTAACGTTATGTGTTTTTATTATATTTACCATATTTTAAACTTTTTAAAATAAAAATCAATTAAGTCCACGTAATGACGTCTTTATATGCCAAGTGGTTATGAAATGCCACTTCACCATACCAGCAGACAACACATTTAACGCCGTTCACATAATTTTATGGCAAGAGTTTTATTGATTCAATTTTACATAAAAAGAGACTAAATTGAATTCTTTCAAAATACGAGGACCTAATTAACACAAATCTACAATAGTCACATTTTCAGAATTTCACTATGAATTTGTTTTCTCGCGGTTTTTCAAAAAGCCTCTAATACAGGGTTTCTTAAACCCCTGCCATGTTAATTGTGACGCTGATAATGCTAATTCTTACCATTATCTAAGCATAATTTTAGTAGTAAAATCAACTCCTTTCTAGCTTGTAACTTGCTTAATCCTCTTCTTTTGTCTTGTTTTCTAAATAAATGTATTTTAGGCTACATTGATGTAATTTCATCATTAATCCCCGTATTTTGTAGCTAATACAGTGCTTGGAAGAACCTCTACCAAAGTATAGAGCTTAACCAGCCATAAGAGCAAGCAAAACAGCAAAAATGAGAGAATTCTGGAATGCTGCCGCTGGGGTGCAGCTGGCGTGCAGCTGAGCGCCACTTCTCTGTAATGCTGCCGCTGGGGTGCAGCTGGCGTGCAGCTGAGCGCCACTTCTCTGTAATGCTGCCGCTGGGGTGCAGCTGGCGTGCAGCTGAGCGCCAGCTCTCTGGAATGCTGCCCGTGCAGCTGAGCGGTGACGCTGCTGATGTGTCAAAAATGCCTATTTATTCAAGTTTGCTTGAAGCATTTGGGGTCTTTGGTTCTTTGGAGGTGCATCTCACTTAGAGGAGAGCTTGGAGGGCTGCTAGGGCTCGTGGGAACACTCCCTTCTTCCTCTTTGGTTCTTCATCTTCTTCCATGTCCATTTTGTAAGCTTTAAGGCTCTCCATGGAAGTGGAGAGCCAAACCCATCTTATTAGGGATTGTTGTAGCCTATGAATTCTTGTGTAATGGATGATTGATTTGATAATATATATGCCTTTTCTATCAATTGCTAGTATTCTTGTTTCCGATCTTAAAGCTTGCATGTATTAGTAATGTTCATGACTTGATTTTGGGGTTTCATGGATTATGGGGACGTAAGATGGAACCTTGAACTGAAATAAGAGTCCTTGTGGTCATTGATTCTAGGGATGGAAGATGATGCACATGTTGTCTTAAGATCCTAGCTCTTTAATGCGGGTTTGCTTGTTAGATTTTCCAAGGGATTGGAGTTTTATATGGAAAACCTAGGCTCTTTCACCTAAGGGATTAGGGCTAGAGTGTTTTTGTGGATTGACTTTAGTAAATTGATGGAGAGGAGATGAATTGGGTAAGCACAAGAGTGAAATAGGTGAAAACTAACCTTAGCAATGTCATTTCATACCATTTCTAGTCTTGTCCATATCTAAGTGCCTTTAAAGACCAAGGTCCAACCATTGTATATTTGTAATTTTATCTCTTTGCACATACTTGTAAATGAATGATGTTCTATTGAGTCTAGATGAGTTGGTAATCGCACAATTCTCTAGTATTACGAGTCTCTTGNTTACTGACGACACAGAAATTCAAGAGTCAATGTTTCTCTGCTCGTTTATGCTATCTACCTTGTTTAATCCAAAAGCCTGCACGCTCTTCTTGTGGTCGTATCTTGCGATGCCCCAAACCCTATAAATATTTATTGGGTTCTTGCAATGGTTTGCTTTCTCTACATCACTCTCTTTCCACAAAGGAGTATGTAGAGCACTGGGTCTGCTTTTGGAACCCTGCCACCAAAATTTGCTCCAAACCTTCACCAAGACTGCGTCTCGGCACTGATGTTCGCCATGATATGAATTTTGGGTTTGGGTACGATGATAGGAGGGAAGTTACAAGGTGGTAGCAATGGTTGTGAAATTTCGTACACGTCAAACGAGTGTGTGGGTTTACTCCATGAGTGACGTATGTTGGAGACGTTCTTTAATGACCTATCCGATGACTTTTTTCACTCTTGACAGTAATGGATACTCTCTGAATGGCACTGTTAACTGGATAGGAGCTTCTTTGGGAGAATCGAGAACTAAGAAGCTACAAATATTTTCCTATGATCTAAATAACGATACTTTCAGATGTTTGTCGGTGCCTGAATTCGTCCCCATAGATTTTGCTTTTCTTTCTATGGGAGTTTTCAATGGTTGTCTTTGTGTTTCTTTAGAGAAAGGGAAGACAGTCTTTGTTGTATTGGCATTGAAGGACGTTCGAGACGAAAGATCTTGGAGTCGATTGGTGAGTGTAAGTTATGAAACTCTGAATATCTCTCCTTATTACTATAAGGTGCGGAATTTGTGCATGTGGGGTGATCTTTTGTTTGTCGCATATTCAAATGGGGGTGCTTCCAATATCATTATCTCTAATTTGAAGGAGAATAAAGTAGAACGTACTCAAACTTACTACAAGAAATTTCTCTATTACATCTTCTCGTGTCACTATGTTCCAAGCTTGATTTTGCCTATTTGAGACATTTATTTATGTTAAATTAAGGTAGTGGTTTCAGAACTTTTTCAAAGGTATGGACATAATTTTGGTATTTCCTTAGTTTGATTTGTTCCATGATTGTTTCACTATTAATAAAATTTCGTTTCTGCATTGATTTTGGCTGAAAAAAATTAAACTTATGTACATTGTCAAAATTGTTTCCAGTGAGCTAGAATTTTCTAATCCAAGGTTCAAAATTGTCATGGTGTTTCTGTCTTATTTGTGTAAATGGAGAAGAAAAGGAGTGAAAGTAGAATGGTGAAGTTGATAATGAAGATTATTAAAGTGAAAGTGCTTGAGAAACCAGATATGTAATTTATCTTTTGATTTTATCTAACCGATGTCTTTCTTATTGCATTTCTTGAATTCTAAATCATTTTTTAATTTCCACTATGTTGACTTTATTTTAATTTCCTATATATGTAACGCTTATTTTCTTAACTTTGTCCTTAATATCTTCATCTTTTGATGCAGATACTTGCCTTATTCTTTTTACGTATTTATTCCTCTATCTTTTGATGTCCTTATAACAAAAATGTTATGTTATGGATATTATGTTTAAGATGATATTATTTAAAAATGTATTTCAACCTTAAATAAATATGTTGATATGGTCAATCATCATTGTATTATTTTTTTAAAAAATTTTGTTTGACAATATGTTTCAACACCAATCCGTTAAGATAATATATTGTTAAAATTTATCAGTGTTATCTATTTTGGAGATTAAAGTTCTACTATAATTTTATTCTTAAAGAAAATTAAAAAATTTGAAAGAAAAAAAAATTCAAATTATCTCTTATCTTAAATCATAAATTGTATGAAACTACAGCAAGAACAAAGTTAGGGAAAAGAAAATGAGTGTGCAACAGAGTCTTCAAGCAAAGTTGACCGATTTCAAGAAATACAATTATAACATTTTAATAATTTTGTCTCAACAATCTTCAAAAGTTGATTGTAACTCATTTAGAACACACTACAATACAGTCAAAGCCCTCAGAATAATTGTGATTATTATTTCACTATAAGAAAATTCTTAAATAATAATCAATTTTAATAACTAAAAATATCTTTAGAGATTAACTTAAAAATTAATTTTTCAATTAAAGATTAATTCTTTTGATAATCAAAATTTTAATAATTAATGATAATAATTAATTAGAAACTAATTTATAATAAAAACTACTTTAACTATAAATTTAAATAGTTATTATAATATTTTGAAACTATTTTAATTATTAATAATTTTTAGTTTATAAATTTATCATTATAGTCATTAATTATTTTTTATCAATAAAATTAGTTATTATTTAAGAATTTTCTTTATAAATAAAATTTTTCCACAATTGAAAACTTTGACTCAAATTTTCAGTAATTTTCTAAAACTCCACTAATGTAGAATTTATCTCTACCAGGTGTATGGTTAAGAAGAGTGGGTGAGTTGATATATTCAGTAATTTAGGCATAAAATCTTTTCGTATAAATTCTTTTTATAGTAATATAAAACGAGATTAAAGATTCATTAAATATGATAAAAGGGCTTCTAATAACCTAAAGGATATATTTCCAATTTTATAGTATAATTAGATGTCAAAATTATGAAAAAAAAACTTTTTTGTTGAATGTGTTAATTAGTTTTTTTTTTACATTAATTAAATTTCAAATAAAATGAAATAAAAAGGTTAAAATTTCTAATTTATTCAATTTCTAAGTGTAAAAGTTGGCATGTTCTTAACTAGTAAATTAAGTTGAGCAAACTAAAAAAAAAAAGGAAGATGTAAGCTTTTCAATTATGGTGACTATATTTTTACCTTAAAAAGAAAATGACGATTATCATTAATACTAAGTCACGCATTTTCGCTTTGACTACGGGTTTTGAGGAATTCTTCGTTACCTTTTCTATAGCAATAATTTTTTTAACCTTAAAAAAATGTTTGAAATATTAACGTCTTAATTATTAAATAAACACACAAATATTATTGTATTAATGTCGATTACACACGAGAAGGAGTGATGTTTTAAAAAAAAAATGTGACGATGTTACGTATGCATACACTTTTATTTAAGTAATTTAAAATTTAATTATCATGTATATTAATTTTAAATTTAATATTTTTTAATACATATTTATTTATATAATTTATTTATTTTATATTTTTTCCTTTTAAACATGATATATTATTTTAAATGTTTAAAGTTTTAGCTTTCAAGTTATCATATAAATTAGTTAGTTTATAAGAGAATAAAGAAGTTGGAAAAATACATACCCATTTTTTAAAGATATAAGATATTATATTAAATTTCTTTTACATTAAAAATAATACATGAGTTTTTGAATATTTTATTTTTTTACAATTAAAATAATGAATATAATTAAAAAAATGAGTTAAATATATTTTTGTCTCTCAACTTTTAATAAAAATTGAAATTAGTTTTTTTCAAAATTTAATTTAATTTAATCTCAAAATTTTTGTAAACCATGAAGTTAATTATTTTAACTAAATTTTTATTAAATTTATTGACGTTTTAAAAAATTTGAATTTAGTAATCGCTATTTTGACATATTTTTATATAAAACTGACAATTTTTTTTTCTTTTTTATTTTTTCATTATAATGATAGTTTCTTAAATAGTTTTAAATATTTGTAAAAATCAAATATATTTTGAATATTTTATATTAAACTGGCAGATTTTTTTATCTTTTTTTTTGCCTTATAATTATAGTTTCTTAAATAGTTTTAAATATTTAAAACAACCAAATATATTTTGAGTCTTTTATATAAAACTGACAGATTTTTTTTCTCTTTTAATTTTTTCATTATAGTTATAGTTTCTTAAATAGTTTTAAATATTTATAACAACCAAATATATTTTAAAATATTAAATTATAAAAAAAATAATTAAAAAAGATATTATAATAAAAAATTAAAATAAACTTTAATTCAAGCATTTCAGAGGAACAGATTCAAGCATGGTATCTATTCTTATATGTTGGGGTTGCCACAGCCGATCTCACATGATTTTGAAAGAAAGACCGATGACGATTTCTTCTGCTGGAATACTCCCTCATGAAATCATACTGGAAATTGTGTCATGGCTTCCTATGACGAGTCTCGTGCGATTCAGGTGCTTTTCAAAGACATGGAAATTTCTTATATCCGATCCTTACTTGGTGAAATTGCACCTTGAAAGGTCTTCCAGAAACCCACAAATCCTCTTACTGGCCAGACAGAGATACAAGAGTCAATGTTTCATGGCTCGTTTACGCTCTTTACCTTGTTTAATCCAAAAGCCTGCACCATCTTCTTGTGGTCGTATCTTGCGATGTCCCAAACCCTATAAATATTTATTCGGTTCTTGCAATGGTTTGCTTTCTCTACATCACTCTCTTTCAACAAATGAGTGTGAAGAGCACTGGGTCTGCTTTTGGAACCCCGCCACCAAGATTTGCTCCAGACCTTCACCAAGCTTGCGTCTTAATTATGGCATTGGTGTTCAATATGATATAAATTTTGGGTTTGGGTACGATGATCGGAGGGACAGTTACAAGGTGGTGGCAATGGTTTTGGATTGCAGTACACAACGAACGAGTGTGTGGGTTTACTGCATGGGTGACGTATGCTGGAGACGTACTATAACGACCTCTCCAGCTTTTCTCACTTTTGAAAATAATGGATACTCTCTGAATGGTACTGTTAACTGGATAGGATATTCTTTTGAAGAATCGAAATTTGAGGAGCCACAAATATTTTTGTACGATCTAAAGAACGATAGTTGCAGATATTTGTTGGTGCCTGAAACTAAAGCTTCTGATTTTACTTCTATGTGAGTTTTGAATGGTTGTCTCTGTGTTTCTTTTGATGAACGGATGACAGTCTTTGTTGTATTGACATTGAAGGACGTTCGAGAGGAAAGATCTTGGAGTCGGTTGGTGAGTGTAAGTTATGAAATTCTGAATATCTCTCCTTATTACGATTTCCTGCGGATTTTGTGCATGTGGGGTGATCTTCTGTTTCTCGCATATTCAGAGATTGGGGCTTATAATATCATTATCTTTAATTTGAAGGAGAATAAGGTAGAACGTACTGAAGGTTACTACAACAAAGTTTTCAGTCTCATCTTCTCGTGTCACTATGCTCCAAGCTTGATTTTGCCTATTTGAGACATTTATTTATGTTCAATTATGGTAGTGGTTTCAGAATTTATTTATTTTGATTTTCTCTGTAACCATTATTTTCTTAACCTTTTGTTTATTATAAACACAGCAGATAGCGTCACCACTACCACTGCTAAGAAATTAGTCTCCTACTCTTTATTTAATTAACTTTATTTATTTACTCTTTTTTTTCTGAAACCCTAAATCCCCACCACCCCAAGTCTCCCACTCTCTGTTTTAGTTTTCAGATCCGTTTGTTTCTCATCCCCTACTCTCACTTCCAAATCTGTTTCTTCTCATCCCCCGACTCTTACTTTCTCTCCTTCTCCATATCCGTTTGCACTTCTTCTCCATTTTTGTTTTGGTTCATAGTGCAGTGGCTTTCGTGGTGCTGTGGTCATTCGACGGGTAATGTGGTTGTGTGTGTGGAGGTGCATTCTTATAAGAGAACCATTAATAGTACGTTAATGAAGTAGGTGGATGTGGGTGAAAATTTACTACGGTAAATAAATATTATTGAAGGGACAAAAAAGATATGGAGAGGTGTAGGGAACATTTGGTGATGATGGAGGGAGCAATATTCTTTCAAGAAATACAATTATAACATTTTAATAATTTTGTCTCAACAATCTTCAAATTTCTGATAAAGTGAATTCTTTTAGAGAAAATAAGATCTTGTAACTCATTTAAAACACACTATAATACAATCAAAGAGTCGTATGATAATTGATCTATGATTGATTTAAGAACAAAATTTTAGATGCAAGTTTAATTTAGCATAATTGTGATTATTAATTATTTCACTATAAGAAATTTTTTAAATAAT